TTTCTGGATACTTGGATATCTTAGGCCATTTGGGTTTTTAATGAAGGTCAGAACTGTGTGTGATGTTAACACATAAGATCACTAATAATAAGCATGACTTGATTGGATGCAACCAGGATAAACAAGATAACTAATTTAAATGTAGGATAGTACTTAGCAGTTATGCAGATTTGTATACCTTCTTTTGAATTTTGAAAGGATTTCTGGATACTTGGATATCTTAGGCCATTTGGGTTTTTAATGAAGGTCAGAACTGTGTGTGATGTTAACACATAAGATCACTAATAATAAGCATGACTTGATTGGATGCAACCAGGATAAACAAGATAACTAATTTAAATGTAGGATAGTACTTAGCAGTTATGCAGATTTGTATACCTTCTTTTGAATTTTGAAAGGATTTTACTGATTTTTTTTCACAGTGTACATTTAAGTGTACATTTTATAGAAAAGCAAACAGATTCAGAAATTATACTTCATGATACCAACCTACCATTAATGATCTCATTATAAAAATAGCAAATTATTCCATAGTTGCCCATTATGAGAATTTTTGCACATTCCTCTGAAACATGTAGTACTATCTACTGTTGAAGATATGGTTCTGCACCAGAAAGCCACTGGTCAGATTTCATGTCGTGATTCTTGTTCTCTGAAGTTGACCCATCCTAGGCAACCCAATGAGTCAGCAATATAAATTCTAATTCCATCTCTAACTCCTGATCCTGTGCTCATTTTTCTCAACCATGTTGTGTTTCTAACCTGTCTGTGCATTGTTGTCTTTAAGTGATTCATATCTGAAATGGATTACTGACATACAATTCAATTGGTTTTTGGTTCCTAGTACACAAATAGAAGTATTCACATGACATCTTGTAAAACTATTCTAGATGGAAAGTTCTTGCTGCATTCATGTGATCTGACTGTGTGTCTGAACATAGCTGGATGTTCTTTTGCTCCAGACTCAATATAGTTTTGTCTCCCCCGCACAATGTTTCCTTCATAGAATTGCTTTGATGCAGTTGGTTACGTCATAGAAATAATAGAAATGTAGGACTAGAAGGGATCTTGATAGATGATCTATCTGGTCCCTTGGATGAGGCAGGACTAAGTATTACTTAGACTACCCCTGACAGTTGTTTGTGTAACTGTTCTTAGAAATCTCCAGTGACCTGAGATTCCACAACGTATGTAGGTAATTTTGTTCCAGTGCTGCTTTATGCTGCTAGTTTGCAAGTTTTTCCTGGTGTCTAACCTAAATGTCTTGCTGCAATTTAAACCCATTACTGTTTGTCCCGTCTTACAATTCAGTACCCTCCTCTTCATAACAGCCTTTAATGTACTTAAAGACTGTTAACAGGTTTCCCCCTTCTCTTCTCTAGACTGAAACAATTGGGGTTTGTTTAATCTTTCCTCTAGGTCATGTTTTCTAGACCATTAATCACTGTGGTATAAACCTGTGGTATCTTAGTACATTTTGATGTAGCTTGGAATACCTGTATATTACCAAATATGACTTGGTTCTGCAACTGTGGCTTCTATGCTTATTTATTTCTAAGTAAGAGTATCTCTAGTCTTCCTCCATTACATACTGTTTGCAAATCTGTTTTTAATTAGGCCATTTTTCTCAAATACTTGAAATTAGATATGCATTTATATATTACTGATTTGAATTCACTCTTATTAAAATTCCTAACATCTCAATTGCAATTATTGGACAGTGATCTATATATATCTCTTAAACGAATTACACTAGCATAAAATGGTTTGAAAAGCCTGAATAGGCTTCAAATGGCCGCTGCTTTTGCGTGGCAGCTATTTTAGTTGTTTTGGTCAATACTTTCTAGTATTTGGATTTTTAAAAAATGTCTGTGTTCATCAAATACATAAAATATTCTGTCCAACACAGCAAAATGTGATTGTGGTCTTTTTAAAAACAAATTATAGATTTGTAAATTAGCATTTTTAGCAGAATCTTGAATGCATAGCACTAAACGGTAAGGTAAAAACTGTATTTGCACCACTGAATCCTTTATAATTCTGCACTAAAATGGGATGCTTTCAAGATCATTATGGAAAACTTTTAACTTACCTATGTCAATTGTCTCTTTCTTTATATGTGTAGATTCCAAGTCTTCTGGAGTAAAGTTAATGAAATCCTCTTTATTTTCATAGATTTCTGTGTGAATTTATATACAATAACTTACAAAATTTACTGTCTTAATTTATGTCTGAAACATAACCACTCTCACGTCATAGTTTCTGTAGTGGCAAATTCATTCAACTTATGTATTTAACTCTTTTGGACTCTTGGCTAAAAATCTGATGGCAACACTTTGCAATAAATCTGAGACATCATTTAAAACCGTTCTTCTAGTTAGAATAAATACAATGTGATTTCTAATTGGTGAGTTTGTTTGGGAATAGAATTGATGTCAGTCACTTATTTAGATAGTAAGCTCTTTGGGACAGCAACTGTTTCTTACTACAGTATGTGTTTGTTGCCAAGAACATGGGGATGCAGGTCTCATTTGAGGCCTCTAGGCATTACGGTAACAAATAAAATAATAATGAACTGGTAATGCATGTGTGCGGTCTATAGGGTGACTATATATAGTGGTTCTGCTAAAGGTTCTGGTCCAAGGCTTCCATTAACTGACTTCTGTGGGCATTGAGTCAGACTGAAAAAGGACAAAAAATGCATAGTTTGCCTTCTCAGTGGTAGGATGGAGATGCCATATTAACAGTATATCTGTGGTAGAAGTTTGACAACAGAGGAGAATACTACACTGGCAATCCATAAGCAAGCCATTCTAAAAATGTGTCATTTACATTGTGTTATCATAACTTGCTTTTTTTCCTCTGCTAACATGGTGTCTATGCTTTTGATCTGGGAGAGGAGTCTCCCATTTTAACTGATTCTCCTTCACTTGTTGGTGCTTCTTTTTGACTGGCAAAGGAGGAAAGTATTTATTCATATCCTTATGTATTTGGAGAAACTGATGTAGAGAGGTTATTATGGGGATCTGCAGAAGGGGGGGAGAGAGCTCCATGCACTGCCCCTGCCCCCACCCCCAGCTCAATTTCTCTATTGGCTGAAAACTGAAGCATGCAAAGTCTCCCCCTTCCTCTGAGCTGAAAGCCACAGGGAGCAGCCAGCCACTTGGAGCAATCTGGGGCTGCTGACTAGCAGGGAGCCTGCCTTAGGGTACTGCAGGGCTGCTGACTAGGAGTTGCTTAGGTCAGTGCCTCCCAGCCAGAGCCTGCCTCCGACATCCCAACTCATCCGGCATCCCAACTCCCTGCCCCAGATCATCACCCAAACCTCTGCACCCCTCCTCCCCTAGGTCACAATTCCCTCCCAACACTGGATCCCCTCTTACAACCCTCCCCCAGGCCAGCATCCTCTCCTGTACCCATATTCCCTCCTGGACCCTGCACCCAAATCTCCTGCTCCAGATCACAGCCCCCTCCTTCACCCAAGCTCCCTCTCAGACCCTACACCCAGTCTCCTACTCCGAGCTCCTATCTACACCCAACCTCCATCCCAGACACACCCCCCCCCACACACACACACACACATCCTCGATAGAAAAGTGCAGCCCTTGACCACGTACCAAAATCTTGGCGTGGCCACCCCCTCAAAAATTGCCAACCCTGACTGTGCAAAGTGTCATTGGCAGGCTTCTAGGCCTGTCGTCAGTCCATTGGAGAACACTGACATTAAACATTAATTGACAAAATATGATCTGTAGCTTTAACAAGTTACTAAAAATGTACCCACAAAAATTGGTGCGGATTTGTTGTGCTTTTATCTATTCATTGTTGCTTTGCTTTTAACCTTTTGTATGACATTCACATCATAGTGCTCATTTTCTGAGAGTTAAGAATAGACTGTTTTTTTCTGAAGTTAGTCCTACTAGTTGAGTGGAGGACATACTGGCTATGTCTGCACTGCTGCTGGAAGAGAGCCTCCCAGCCTGGGTAGACACGTTCACTGTCTCGTTTAAAAATAGCAGTTTGGATGTTTGTTGTCTGGTGGAGACTCAGGCTAGCTAACGAAGCTCAAACCTATGACGTTATGTAGGCTTGAAAGTCTGAATTCCCATTCAAGACAAAGTGTCAGCATACAAAAAATAGCAGTGTTGGCAGGCTCTTCTTCTACACAGGCTGGGAGTCTCCCTCCCAACTGCAGCATAGTCATAGACTTTAAGATCCTCACCACAAAGAACAAACAGCAGCAGTGTGTTTTACCTTCATTATAATATGCCTTGGCTCCATCAGTACTGGTTAGTCAAACCAAATTATGACTCTTTTTCCAGTAGCCACATTCAATCTATACTTTGCATGTGACTAGCTTGGTATGAAGCAAGACAGTTTTGCTGTGTTCACTGGCACTTAGGGTAGTGTAGTAGCAGCTTTTCTAGTCATCTTCTCCATCCCTTCCCCAAACATCTCTACGCATCTCATTTATGAATAAAGAATTAGGAGTCTCTTTCGTAAATTTCAGTCCCATGCTTGTCAGTTGTGCCACAAATTGGCAGCCTAAGAACTGGAAGATGTTGAAAGTAAAGGACATTGTTTCAGGGGGTATCCTGAGAAAACTCTCTCTAGATTATGCAGCTGGTAAATTCCTTGCTGCTTTATTTTGTCTGCAGTGGTACTTAGGCCTGTAGATGTATACATTATTGGACTATCCAAATGACTGAAACAAAAAACATGCAGGACTCTGGGCAAACTCCATTTTGCTGAAATGCATGTTACAGGTGACTGGTAGGATCTGAAATCTGTATTATCAAAAGTCCTGTGCACCCAGCAGCAGCCATTGTAAAGCAGTTTGTTTGTGTGTGTATAGAGAGTGCAGTTCTGTCATCGGTAGATGGGCAAAAGCAATGTTGTCCAATTGACATCAAATTACTTCATGACTAGCCAGATGCTCTATCACTTACTTGTCTCAGCTTTCCCTCTTGCTACATGCGACACTTCCAGATTCTCTGAAGTCATGGTTACAGAAACTTCATCTGTCAGAAGATTTAAATTTGGCATTTAAAACTTTTTGAGCATGCTGTGCTTAAAGGCTGAATACTGCGCATAAGGCTGACAAAGGAGGTAATGCAGGTTTTCCTTCCAATGGAAATACTCAAGGCAGTAAAAAGGCATTCCCACATCTTTCTAGTTAGGTGTTAAGCTTCCCCTACCCCCAGCCCTGCCAGACAATATTTTGCTCTGAATCTTTGCAAAGAATATGTGAGTATAGAACACAGTAAGGAGCATATAGTGTAAGCAGGGGCTGAACTGCTGCTTGCTATCAGCCAGCTAAAAGGGGTGGGTGGGTGTGCCCACTGCAGTTGTTTAGCTCTGCAAGGTAATTAACTGTTGATATGTAAATACAGCTCAGGAGAGAATACGAGGTGTGGCTATGTAAATCCCATTCAGCCAGGGCTGATGGAGGGTCAGTGTTGGAATGGAATGTGGCTGAGAGCCAGACCTATTGCAGCCAGTGAAGTGGCGGCAGGCAAGAATCGTCCAAAGAGTCCGACATCCCAAAAGTCTCTGTCCCTAGTCCGTGCCACCCAGAGTCCCAAAGTTCACCTGCAAGGTTTCACCTCCCAACCTGGGTAGAAATGGGGGTGGGTGGATAGATAGGGGGCACCTTATAGGAAACTCCGCCACGCTCCACCAGCTGTCTCGCCCCACACCTCTGGACGCTCCGCTGGGCACCTGCCGCCGCGCCACTCCTCGCCTGCCGCCCCTCCACACCACTGTTCCTCACCTGCCACCACTCTGCTCCACGCCACACCGCGGATCGCCGCTCCTCACCTGCCGCTGCTCCGCTCCGCTCCGCTCCACACCACGCCACGCCACTGGTTGCCACCACTTCACTAGCTGCAATAGGTCTGGCTCTCAGCCAAACCAGTGATTTTAGCTCTCCGTGATTTCAACTCTTTAGCCACCAGTTGGACTGGCAAATGAATCCAGCTTTCACTGGACTAGCATAAGAAAAGACTCCTCCGGGAGTCTGCTTTAGGTCTGTCCTTAAAACAAAGGGGGAAAGGTGCAGGCTGGGCCAGTCTTATAGCTCACACCTGGCAGGTGTGAAGCAGGCTGACTCAAGCCCTTTAACCCTTCCCCCCCAGCTCAGTTCACTCAACTCTGGAAGTGGGGAGGCTTGTTCTTCCGAGACCTCTTACCATGATGGTGGTGTCTCTCTCTCCTGCAAGCACTGGTGTTTTACAGTTCCCACGTTTAGGGGTAGCATGATTAGTGACCCCCCCACAACAGTCCCAAATTATATACAATTCTCCACATTCCAGTCCAACACTGACCCTCCATCAGCCCTGGCTGAATGGGACTTACATAGCCACACCTCATATTCTCTCCTGAGCTGTATTTACATATCAACAGTTAATTACCTTGCAGAGCTAAACAATTGTAGTGGGCATACCCACCCTTCCTCTTAGCTGGCTGATAGCAAGCAGCAGTTCAGCCCCTGCTTACTACTTGTGTTTGGAAAGTTGGGTGGGGGACAGGTTGTTATGCAAGATTTTGATCTCCTCTCCAGTTTTACTGTGAATTCTAAGTAATACAGTAAACTTCCGATAATCCGGCACCTTTAGGACCCAGGGGGTGCTGGATTATCAGATATGCCAGACTATCAGAAGAGGGGGCTGTGAGGGGTCTGGAGTGGGGTGGGAGGGGATGCCACCCCAAACCCCTGATAGCCCCCCCTTACAATAGTCAGGCTCTGCCCCAGGAGTCCCGGATTCAGCCGTTTCTGGTCAGTTTCAGCAGCAGCTGAATCGGGGATGCCTGCAATAGAGCAGCTGGGGTGCTGCCGGGTTGGTCCCGCAGCGCCGAGGGGCGGTGCTACGGCACCAACCCAGCAGCACTCCAGCTGCTCTTGGGGACGCCTGGGACAGAGTAGCTGGGGTACTGCCCGGTTGGTCCCGTAGCGCTGCCCCTCGGGTCTGCGGGACCAACCCGGCAGCACCCCAGTTGCTCTTGGGGACGCCTGGGGCAGAGCAGCTGGAGTGCTGCCGGATTGGTCCCGCAGCCCCGAGGGGCAGCGCTACCAGACCAACCCGGCAGCACCCCAGCTGCTCTGCTCCCGGCTTCCCCGATTCAGCTGCTGGTCAGTTTCAGCAGCAGCTGAATGGGGGAAGCCTGTCCAGCTGCCCCAGCACTTTTGGGTTCCTGATGGTGCCGGACCATCAGGAGTCCCAGAGCATTGGATGCCGGACTAATGGAGTTTTACTGTACTTTGTTGTTCCATAACATACGATAAATTCAAAACTTGGATCGACTGACAGGATTTAGATAAAATAAAAGAGATGGTAAATTTTATTGACTCACCTATATCAATGTCATCTTCTTCCTTTATATGGGTAGCAGCTTGTTCTTCTAAAGGATTGCTTATAGGCTTTTCTTCATTGCATTTGTCAGGGAGCACTATAAATGTATAATGAGCACCGAATTAATGAAAAACATAGATGTCACTACATGAGGTTCTGGCATTTTCTTTTGCTTAAAGGATTTGTAGGACAGTGTGTAGTCCAACAAATGTTTCAGAATAACTCTCCATTGTTTGTTTTATGAATTGGCTTACTAAATTGAGGAAAAGCTTAAACAACAAAATAGTCTGATACCATCTACATGTTTTGTTAGTCTTTAAAGTGCTATCATGAGATTTCGTGGGTGCAGCCCACTTCTTCAGATGACCAAATAGGCATTTTTATTTACCTGTGTCAGAAACTGTATCTGTGACCCGTTGATCTTCTGACACATTACTAACAGAGTCCTCTTCACCTGTGTCTCCAGGCATTTCTGTGTAAATAATATATTGAATCAGGACAACACGTTTTGCAATTATTATGTTACCTTTTCCAGATCTTTTATAAAATTTGTTAAAAATTAAAATGAAAAGGACCTAAAACAGCCATGTAGATATCCTTGACAAATGCTACAAATCCTGTAAATTATAGATCCAGCAATTTCACCCAATATTGCTATCAATAATGACCATAGAGAAAATAAATTTAGATCTTACCATCGTTCCACAAGCTTTCACAATTTTTCCGTCTCTTCTCTGATAGAGAGGCAGCAGCGCCAAGGAAGAGGGCAGGCGGGAGCTGGTACACGCAGGAAACCGGTTTTCAAGCTGGCTCTTCGTGCATAGCCACCTGCCCCCTATGCTGCTGCCTCTCTTTCAGAGGCATGGGGGGGAGGAGGGACAAGTGGGAGCCAGTGCTCCCACCTGCCCCCTGCATGTAAATATGTAACCACAGAAAATTTCAGCAGTTACATGTTTACAAAGATAAACGTATTTTAACATCCCTAAACTTGACATGTGCTTTTTATCCAACATGTTTTGTATAACTAGGCAAATGTCTAGATGAGACAATACAGGTAGTCCCCGAGTTACGCGGATCCGACTTATGTCGGATCCGCAGTTACGAACGGGGATTTTCTCGCCCCAGAGGACTCGAGCAGCGGGTCTCCTGGTCCTGCCTCCCGCCTCCTCTGGGGCGAGAAAAGCTGCTCCCCGTCTCCCTGGTCTGCTGGGGGAGCCAGCAGACCAGGGAGATGGGGAGCAAAGCGGCGGAGGACCCGGGGCCGGACCCGCGGCGCTTCCAGCTGATCTGGACCCGGGGCCGGACCCATGGCCGCTTCCAGATCAGCGGGAGACAGGGAGCAGCTTTTCTCACCCCGGAGGAGGCGGGGGGGCGGGGCTCAATATTTTAAAAATAATTATATTTGCTGTTTTTTAAAATTTGCCTTCTGGTTTTTGAAGCTATGGAATTTTTCTCCTCAACCCTGAGGACTAAAAACTTCTTTATTCTTAAAAAAATAAAAAAATAAAGCTGAGAGTCTCATGTAATCACTTGACTCCAGGATTGGGGACTTCAGAAAAAACACCAAATATCATAGAATTGTAGGACCTTGAGATGTCTTCTAGACCAGTTCTCTGCATTCAAGGCAGAATTAAGTATTATCTAGAATGATCATCCCTGATAGGTGTTTGTCTATCCTGTTCTTAAATAGTTCCTGTGATAGAGAGATTGTGGAATCTCCAGGCAATTTATTTGTTTAATGCCTTAACCACCCTGACAGAAAATTTTTCCTAATGTCCAACGTAAACTGCCCTTGCTTCAATTTAAAACCATTGCTTCTTGATATGTCCTCAGCGGTTAATGAGAACCGAGTTTGTCCCTCCTTGTAATAAACTTCTGTATACAGGCAGTCCCCGGGTTACGTACAAGATAGGGACTGTAGGTTTGTTCTTAAGTTGAATCTGTATGTAAGTCGGAACTGGCATCCAGATTCAGCCGCTGAATCTGGACACCAGTTCTGACTTACATACAGATTCAACTTAAGAACAAACCTACAGTCCCTATCTTGTACGTAACCCGGGGACTGCCTGTATACCCTTGGAAAGATCTGTGTACCCCTGGTTGAGAACCACTAAACTAGATTGTGGACCAGTCTTTGTCCTTCAGGGTATGCCTACAGTGCAATTAAAAACTCACAAATGGCCAATGCAAGCTGGCTTGAGCTTGCGCTGGAAGCCTGTTTAATTGCAGCATAAATGTTCTCCAGTCCCCAATCTGAGTCGAACATCTATACAGTAATTTAAATAGCCCCTTAATCTGAGTTACACAAACCTGAATCAACTGGCATGGGTCAGCCTTGGGTTTTTAATTGCAGTGCAGACATACCTTCGCTCTTCCTCTCCCCTGCTTGCTTCTTTCACTTAGTGATATTGGAGAACAGGTGCTTCTTCATTTGGAACAGTCTCTCTATATACATATCTTTAACTTGTAACTTCTCTGTCATTTCAAATATCCTTTGAAAAACCTATTTTTTCTCTTAAAAACCTATCCTAGTTTTTCAACCTCTTTCTGTAACAGGATAATTATTTAGTATGAAAAGTTACTTTACATAATAAGATGATGTTTTATAATTAAACTTCTATGCTTTGATTCAACATTTATATTTTAAAAGTTTAAATACTATATTTTTTTAATGTCACGTCATTGCTGAGAATAATTGTAAATAAGCATTTAATTGCTGAGTTCTTACCTAAAGAGTCTCTCTCTGTTTTGGCTTCTATCCATTCTGTAGACCTCTTGCCTTCATCATTATCTGATTTGCTTGATTGTTTTCCAGTGTTGTGTCCCAGAATGGCATCCAGTTCATTAAAAAATTTCATACTTTTACTTGTATTCCCTGAGTCTTGGGCATTTTTTACACTTTTGTATTCATGTTTCAAGTTTTTATACTTTGTTCTGCACTGCTTCCAGTCCCTTTCAATTCCAAATTTTTGAAGCCTAGCAGCAACCTGTTCAAATATTCTTTTATTTCTCACTGTCCCTTCAAGTTGCTGCTGTATGTTTTTGTCTGACCATATATGTATTAGAGCTCTGACTTCATTGACAGTCCAGTGTTTTCCTCCTTCATTTGCTACCGTTGGAATAAAAGGTAGATTTTTGGACGCCTCTAATATTGCTGCTGTGTTACCTGCGTCAGATGGGGTAGGGGAGAGACACAGGTATGGGTTACCTGCATGATGTGAGGTAGGGTGGGGAGAAGCAGAGAGAATGAAAGAAAATACATTATTCAGTTTTTCTTCACAACTTTGCAGTAGTAGAAGTAAAATCATGGTATTAAAGTCGTTAATGATAAAATTGTATTTTCTGTCTTGTAAAGAGAGTAATATTAATGATAATTAAACCAAAATGCACTAATTTGTGAGGATTTATTTCGCTGCCATCCACCTCCAAAAAAGTTAGCACATTTGTTACTCAAGAAAGTTATTACTAGTATTTAACACTTTATGATATAGTGCTTTATATTTTCATCATCAGAAAGGGTTATAACACTACACTAGGCCCCATTCTTGCAAACAATTATATATGTGCTTAATTTTATGCACACGTAATTTGTCTGGGTTTGCACAGGTGCACATAATTAAGTGTATGTAAGCGTTAGCAAAGTGAGACCTTAATCCTTGTAAAACAAACCTGTTGGGGGAAACACTTTGTATAAAAACACAAGAACTCAAAGGAAGAGGTAGGACTAGAACCCAATTCTTAAAATTTGAAGCCTTGCACTTTCTCAGTCCAGTACATTATAGAAGACTACTGTGTGACCAAATCAGAGAACTTACTTGTGGGTTTAGAGTGAGTCTGTGTGTCTGTGAGGCCATTCTGCAGAGTGACCGCTGAGGGCAGCTGTACCAGCAAGGGAGGGCCACCAGTACTGTGGCTCTGCCATCTTGCCTCCCAGCACACTGGTAAGTAGCCCTACTGCCGAAACCCTTTTCCCCCTCCTGCTCCTTGGGCCCCACAGAACCAAAGTTGTGGGGAGAACAGGCCTTGGGCGGGCTGGGAGGGTGAGGTGGCCAGGGTGGAGGGAGAGAACAAGCCCCAGGCAGGCTGGGGTAGAAGAAGAAAATAGGCTCTAGGCCCTCTGCCTCCTGCCCAGCCCTCCACCCCCACATTTCCAAGGCCCTGCCCTGAAGGATCTGGGCAACACTGGGTTAGTTGGCTAGTTAAAAATATTTGTACTATATAGGGAGTTTAAATACTTAATTTTTCTTTGAAATTTTTCAAAAATTTTACTTTTGCTAGCAACAGTTTTTTTTGGGAGGTTGAAGGAAAAAATGCCACAATTTCCCAGAGTGCTAAAACAAGTTCTCAACACAGTTAAAAATATATATATTATTTTAGACTGTGATATTAAATTCAGTTCTCATCAATTTACAGAACTCTCATTTTGTACTCCTTTAAAACAGTAAAATAGGATGTTGTCTTTATTCTTGTAGATGTAAAAAACTCCTTATTTTCCTTTTTTGTTTTCTTAGTGATTTCACTACTTACAGAGAAGTGTAAACGTAAGTGCAGAGAAATTGGCATAAATTGTGCAATCAGTATGTTTAAATTCCTTCACAGCCATCCCATTTTAAATGGTAATCCATGCTGTGGTGATAGGATACTTCTGTCATTAAGTTCTGTATGGTGGCAAATATGACCTTTGATAGCAGTCTTGTTCAGTGAAGCATACTTACATGAATATTGGTGATAAATTTGGTCTAGAAGGAATAGACTGTGCATTAGTCTCTATAACCCATTCTACTCATGAGGAAGCTTTACTAATAGATGGCATTTTTACCCTTTTTATTTTAACAATTAAGTCCCAAGTCAGCATCCAAGAGCCTCTGCAACTGCTGGATCATTGATACACTACAGTTAGGGAGGCTATTGATCCATGACATACCAATTAGACTTTTTATATTTGCCTCAAAACATTATGAGATTGTTTCATATGCGGTTGAAATGAGCAACACAGGAATAATCACAGTAAACACCAAAGAAGTTTGAAGTGGTTTCAGCTCAGAAATATTGGGGTTGCCTTGGCAGCTGATAAGCTTTCTAGTTGTGTATCACGTATTTTGAAGGGGCTATCATTTTTCTATCTAAGGATGTGTCTACACAACACACCTCAAAATAGCTTATTTCAAAACGTCCCTTATCCCTCGTGTAATGAGGTTTACAGGGATGTCTGAATAGCAAGCCATTATATTTTGCCCAGTGGTATCCCAAAATAGCTCCACTCTGTAGATGTAGCCTAAGAGCCAAACATTTAGGCTAGAGAGAGAGAGAAAGAAAAGGACCCACGATGCTGAATGGGGAAGGTCCTCTACTAACTCTTCACATCCCACAATTCATAACTGAGGATATGATGCTTTTGGGAGATGGAAGGATTTGTTTAGCTTTTGCATCTGGCCAACGTTTCTATAGGTAAATCACATTGCATATACTAGGCTTCCAGATTTGTACGACTTGTTGTTGTTCTAGATTGGATCCCAACGGGTAGGTGGATTGAAAATTTTACTCTAGAATTTTTTTCATTTAATATTCTTTGAAATAAGATACTTAATTAGTCTGAAATCTTCTCCAAAAAGTCTCAAAAAATGTCAGAACTGACTTTCTCACAAGAAGTGATGGTTTTGAAAAATTAGCATTTTTTTTATTGGAAAAAGTTTCAAAAATACTCAACCAGTTCTAAAAATAATATTGTCAGGCGTGATTTTTGGTAGCATAGTAAGTCACAAAGCATCCATTATGATTTGAACCTAAGCATTATGCATTGACAAATGAAAGACTAAATATCTCACAATTTTCAGAAGCAGAATTTTGTCTGAACTTTTTCACAAAAGTACTCTTACATCTGTATTCCTAATCTTCAGTATGCAAGAATTTAAAAACAAATCCAGAGAAGAAGGGGTGAAGTTTTTGTTTTCTATTTGGGGCGGTGCCCAGGATTCTGCAATGATGGGCACCTATAAAAGTCAGGGCTTATACGTACTCTGCTATTGGATGGAGGTGCAAGTAGTAGCAATATGCCCTTCTGAGGACAGTACTAGATTTACAATGGTGTCATTGTGCTGGGCCCACGGTCAGAAGGGGCCCATTATAGTTGGCAGGTAGGTGCATTGGAAGTTCCCTAAAAACATTGGAAAGGAGGGGGGGATGCCAGTACCAAGACCCTGCCCTCTGCTTTGCCCCTCCCTTCCTAGCCTTATTCCCAGCTGGCCTCTTTTCCCAAGGTTCTCTGGGCACTGGTGCCTCCCTGTCCCCTCTTTCCCCAGTGCTCCATTGCTTACCCTTAAGGCAAGGAAAAAGTGGTGTGGCCCATGAATACCCTCATCTCTTCCCCACTCCCGTTCCTGTTGCCAGGTGTCTGATTTTCACCCAGTTGAAAAGTGGACCTGGTAGTTGACCGGACACTAAAAGTCCAGTTAAAGGAGTAACCACAATGAACCTCCCCACCAAGAGGGAGGGAAGAGTAGCTGCTGCTGCCTGGAGAAGTTGCAGCTCAGTTGGAGAGAGAGAGAGCCAGCTCCCAAGGACCCTGCTCTGATAGAGAGAGAGATACCAGCTCTGCAGTGTCCCAAAGGTTTTCCTATCCACGTTCCTCTTCCCCTCCCTCTCCTACCCCCAGGCTAGGAATGTTAAATTGCAGTTAATTGACTAGTTGATAGGCACTTTGGTTTTCCTTCTTTGAAATGTACAAAAGCCCCTGCTGGGGCTCTTGTTCATTTCAAAGGAGGATTGCAGAACTCCGCCTACAGCCAACGATCAGCGAGAAGTCCCGCTGACTCCAGGCTGCACGCGGGTGCCTGCTTTGAAATGTACAAGAGTCACCGCTGTGCATTTCAAAGCCATGGGGCCCGGGGTCAGCGGGGGACTCCCCCACTGACCCTGGGTTCTGGGGAAATGCCATGTGGAGCCCGGGATCAGCTGGGGAGTCCCCAGCTCACCCCAGGCTCCACAGCTGTCCCTTTGAAATACAGAGGCAGCATTTCAAAGGGGCAGCTCAACCGGGGATCAGCTGTGCTGTGGCTGCTCCTTTGAAACACCGCCTTGGCATTTTCAAAGGGGAACAGCATGGAGCCCGGGGTCAGTGGCGGAGTCCCCAGCTGACCCCAGGCTCCATGGTGTTGCCCCTTTGAAAACACTGAGGCGGTGTTTCAAAGGGGCAGCTGCCGCACAACTGATCCCAGGCTCAGCTGTGCAGTGCTGCCGCTTTGAAGTATCCCTTCCCCTCCCGCTTTACTGCCTCTATATTATAGAGGCAGCGGGGGGAGGGAGGAGGGAAATGGACAGACTCTCTGATAAGCAAATGCTGATCTGATATTCGACTAGTCCTTAACATCCCTAACACACACCATGCTGTACTTGCCCTCCGTCTCTGCCTTGCTCCAGAGACCAACTTCTTCCCTTGCCCAGCTGTGCCTGACACCAGCCCCTACCTCACTCTACAGATTGCCCCCAGTACTCAGTCTTTTACAACTATTCCCCCTGGGATCCCTCAAATATGTATGATGACAGGCCTACAAAAGGTTAATCTGGCCCTTTGTGAGGGTCATTATGCCTGTGAAGGAATTCTGCCCTGAGAAGGGTGACAGTGTTGTGCTTGAGAGTCAGCTTTAGTTTCTATGGGAGACTCAGTTAGAGGTTGCAATAGTAATGTACATCTCCCGGGCACTGTCTCCCTTGTCTGTTGCACCTTGCTTTTGAGCTCTTATTTGCTGTCTGCCAGTCCCTGCTAAACATGTTTTGCATCATTTCCATTTCCTTCTGGCAAGATGTGTGCTAGCGTCTGGAGTGAAATGTGGCCTAAGCTACAAACAAAGAATTAGATTTTCTTCCAGTAGTCTCAGTATTATGCTCTGTGCCTAAGTTTTTACAACTGTATAATAGGGGGAATGGCATTTGACTCCTTTTATAAATATTCTGAAATATATGGATGAAAAATGCACTATAGGAGAGCTAAGTATTTTAATGCATTCTTGAGAGCCCATATGTATATAATGTTGTCTGTTTTGCACAAAGTTGTTTTCCTCCTTTTAACCAGAACTAAAGGTTTTCAACAGGTCAAATAAGTCTGTCTGTTCCATATCATGTTATAGAAGTGTTAGAGGATCTAAATAATCTTTAATCTTTATCCCCTTAATTAGTGATCCGAGCGTGAATTGTAAGCAAAGCTATATATGTACACATCAGGAGTGAAATGTCCACCTCTTTTTTAGAGTCCTTTTTTGGCACAAAAGTTCTTGATCCAGTTGAGGAGGGAGACAATTCCTTGGGTGCAACTAATGTAATAAATCTTTTGAGCCTTTGCATCAAGTTGTCGGACCAGTGGATTTGCTTGCCAAACCCCTACATGAAATGGGAATGCAGCTGCTATGAATGCTACTGCAGTCTTGAGTTGTTGATCTGGTGGCCTACAATTTAGGATATAGGATTCTATTTTGTTAAAATCCCTGCAGATCTCCTTTGCACTCAGCCCATTTGTTCTTACATAGAATTGCAAGTTTGTGTAGAAATTGTATGATTTGGCAGAAAATCCACAAACGATACAAGCCTCACATGCTATCATATGACAGGCCTTCAATTAGTATGTAACAAAATACTCTAAGATAAACTGAGGTAATCTGATTAGCTGTTGCAGGGAATGGTTTCATGACCATGAAATCAACAAATTGGTCATGCGGTAGTCATCTGCCACCTTATATATCTAGTTATTTATGAGGCTGCTGAATGTTAAAACTGGGAAGAAAGAGCAATATAATGTCTGTTTTTAAAGTTACATTAATCAGAAACTGACTGCTTATGTACTGAGGCTAACAGAAGCTATTCCTAGCAAGACTTCTTTTAGTTTTTCTAAGATGCAATGAGAAATAAATCTAGTAGCAGTGTTTTGATTTTCTCCCCGCACCACCATACTGTACCTAGTTCAATTGGTCTGACATGTGAAATAAAAAGTAATGGATCCTCTGGGACTTCCTCATCCTCTTCTAATGGAACTGACATTTCACCTGAAGAGGGGTTTGTATAAACAGATATTAAATAAATCTATCTAGACGATATTACAATGTGTAAATTGCAGTCAATTCACAGTGACAAATTCATTAGCTTGCAAGTATAGAAATTTAGGCAAGAAGTAACTGTAATCATAATGGGATAGATGTTAGTGAATTTAATATTCATTTTACTGTATTAGAAACAAATTTAATGATACATATAAATGAGAGCTGATTTATCCCTTTTGGCGCGTAGGAGCCTTTTTGCCTCTGTGTGGGATAGTGTGTTTTTCAGAATATACGTACCATTAGCCTCATTCAAATTAAAAAGCAGAAGCAACCTCCCTTCCCCCCGAAATAAACACAATTTCCAGATGGTGTCATATCCAAAGCCTGTTTATACAACAATAAAGCAGCTAGAATTATTGCAAAAATGGCTTTTAAGTGTGATAAGGGAAAAACTGCATTAATAAAGTTGGATAACAGCAGACATTTACTTGATTGAACTCTAGCCTTTGGAATGATGTCTGTCCATGAGTTCTGAGATGGTTATTGTAGCAAAAAACAAACAGGTGTGTAAGGCAAGCAATCTACTGAACCAGAAGAATAGTTTTGATTATCCAGGAATAGTAGATTGGTATGTGAGACGTGCGTAGTTAGAATAGACATCATCCCTCTAGACATTTCCAAACATCCTATAAACATTATACGCTTTATTTTAGGGATGTTAACAAATGTTTATTTGTGTAAACATGTAACTGCTGAATTTTTAGTGGTTATATGTTTAGATACAGGTGAGAGCTGACTCTCCATAAGTGCTGGCTCCTGCCTTAATTGGTATGTGAGACGTGCGTAGTTAGAATAGACATCATCCCTCTAGACATTTCCAAACATCCTATAAACATTATACGCTTTATTTTAGGGATGTTAACAAATGTTTATTTGTGTAAACATGTAACTGCTGAATTTTTAGTGGTTATATGTTTAGATACAGGTGAGAGCTGACTCTCCATAAGTGCTGGCTCCTGCCTTAT